CCCCCCCCCACAGCCCCCAGCACTAGTCTCTCTCCACCCACCCACCCCCAACCTTTTACACACCCCTCAGCCCGGTCCTGTGCCCTCAAGGGAAGCTGTAGAGTCCCTTTGCAAAATTAAAAGGCCGGAGAGGAGAACACGGGAGGGGACTGGGGTCTTGCTTCAAAATCCAGGAGCACAATACATTTATTTTATTTTCACAGCTAAAAGAATAGTCTTAGCTGTTTCCTTCCCAAGAAGAATCCTAAAGAAAGCAATAAAAACCTGACTAAAACCTTCATTAAATAAAGCGTACAAAGCAGTCCAAGCTAATCCTCAGTCACCCCCCACCACCATCACTACCACATTAATACAAACTCTCCACTCCTCCCTAGTGAACACCAAAGGTTCTGACCAGTTTGGGGCAGGCCTGCCAACTATAATAATAAAAATAATAAGGAACACCATTTAATAATAAGTATTTCATAAAGACAAGCATTCATTCTGTGCCAGGGACTGTGCTAAGTGTTTTGCATACATTATTTCATTTTGCCCTCCCAACTGCCTTGAAAATAGGTATTGATATTTAAATTTTCCAGATTAGAGAGATGAAATGGAGTTTGTGACCTCTCCAAGTCGCAATAGCCACTAAGTGGTTAGAATGGAATGGAGGTCCAAAAAGCAGAAACCTTTTTTTTTTGGTCCAATACTATCACCAACTCCAGGACTTAATAAGGAAGGGCACTCTCATAGCTGTCAACTGAGTCTACCCCCCACAAGAGAGATGTGCAAATTGCCCCACCCACCTACATAGAATAAAGACCCTAGCTTTTCAGTCTAATGACCTTTTCCCTCACTGTTGGGAGGTGGCAGTGTTGTCATTGATGAAGGGGAAGCCAGAGATGAGCTGGTGTCCAGGGAATCTGTCACACCCCACACAGCTCTTGTGTTAGGGAAGCTATCTTGCAACCATTCCAGCTTCAACTTAAAACGGGAAAGTGGAGCTATAGGGATACTTGACAGTGCAGCAGGTGGGAAGGATGATATCTGGGAGGTGTTTTCAAGGGGTGGGAGGGTACTTGGAAGGAAAGCTCTTCTGGGCCAATCTAGGAGAAAGTGGCCTAGGGTGCTCTCAGTCCAGCAAAGGGGCAAAGTCTTTCAGCTACACCACACCCGTGCCCCTCCTCCTCACAAAGTTACAGGCCGGGGTTTTTCCCACCTGCAGGATAGTAAGGCCAAGGAAGGGAGAGGAGAAAGAGATGGCACGGGCTACAACTGGACTCGGGTAGGGGGTGGGGGTGGGGGGAGAATGAAAGGGGGTGGAGGCGTCATTGCCTGGCAACCATTCCTGGGCACGTGCAGTGGTGACATCATCCCAGGCCACCTCTAACACAGACCTTTGACCCCAGCGGGGCAATGAGGGCTGTTGGCTAAGCTTCCTGGGAAATAGCTTTAGGAATTCTGAGAACCCTAGAAAAGTCGGAAGGGATGAAGAACCCAGACGTCCTGCCTTTATCTCCCCCCCCCCAATACAGTTCCAATCTCAAAGACTCGGGCCTTTCGCCCTCTCCGTCTTCAGCCCTGACCTCCCTACCCACATTTTTGACTGGCGTCCCGACATGCCTCTCGGAGATAGCGTGCCTTCTTTCTCCTGGGCGAGATCGCGGGCGGGGGACAGGGGTCCCGGGTCCCGCGGGGCCCCGTCTCCTATCTGCGGGATCCCCCGTGCCCCAGCAGGCCGCCTGCCCGATCTGTCTGGGTCCCCAACTCTCCCGCCCCTCCCCGCGCTGTTGCAGGGCGGAGTCTGTGGAGTTGAAACCAGGACACGGCGAGAGGAAGAGTTATATAACCGGGAGAGGCAGAGAAGGACGAGTGGAGACGGGGACACAGAGCCCGAGAGGAGCCAAGGGAGGCGCAAAGAACACCCGGGCGAGCAGGGAGGAAACATTAAGGATGGAAATGGTTTTGGTGCACATCGAAGAGGAGGAATTCACTCGAAGAAGTGACTTGATAGCCCGGGAAAAGTCACTTAGGTGTCCAAGAGCTTCCCTGCAGCGCCCCTCCCCGGCTACCAACAGCAGCCGAGCCCAGGCGGGTGAGGCTGGGGAAGGGGCGCTAGTACCCGCTCCGTTTACCTCGGGGAGGCAACCGAAGCCTGAGCCCGGGAACGCATTGGCCGTGAATTTGGGGCCGGAAACCACAGCTCC